TAAACAAAGCCGCCAAAGATTGAGGAAAGATGGACAGGTTCGTAAGTGCTTGCGTAACTGCTTCGTGAATCTGGCCCCAGGTTCGTGTGTTTGCGTAACTGCTCCGTGAATCTGGCCCCAGGTTCGTAAGTGCTTGCGTAACTGCTTCGTGAATCTGGTCTCCAGGTTCGTAAGTACTTGCGTAACTGCTTCGTGAATCTGGCCCCAAGTTCGCAAGTGCTTGCGTAACTGCTTCGTGAATCTGACCCCAGGTTATTGTTGTTATAGAGAATCACAACAGTGGGGTTGTGATTCTCTCTGAGCGTTTCGGAGGTTGTAAAGTGTTTAGTAAATGTAAATTAAACCCCGCCACGGTTAAGGGCAGATGTAGAAGTGTCGTAAAAAGTTGACCTAAATGCAAGATGACTCCTGGTTCTGGAAAGATGAAATGCTCTCGTTTGGTGTCGCCAGGGTAGTAACAGGAGTTCAGTAGTTAGGTTCTGATGGCCATTATTGAACCCGTCCTCACACTAGGTTGGTTAAAGCGGCGGCCGTCCTCCCCACACGCATCCGTCAATTTTGACATAATGTATTAAAAATTGATTTGTTTTCATATATAAATTAATATTATACATAAAAATTCTATGTATAATTAGGTTAGGTTAGGTTAGGTTAGGTCAGGTTAGGTCAGGTTAGGTTAGGTTAGGTTAGGTTAGGTCAGGTCAGGTTAGGTTAGGTCAGGTCAGGTCAGGTCAGGTCAGGTTAGGTTAGGTCAGGTTAGGTTAGGTTAGGTTAGGTTAGGTGTTTAGGTTCTGTTGGCGATTATTTGTATTTGTAGTACGTGGGTGAAGCATTTACAGCGTTGTGGTTCGAACACCAGTCGTCAGTGAAGCACTTGTTCCGGAAGTGTTCGAACGTCAGCAGTTGTGAGTCGTGTGTAAACCGTTTTTCATCCATAAACAGCTGGGGAGGGTTTGGCGGGTGAATGGAATGGACTTTTGGGTTTTTATTTGGAGGACGGGCGACATAAACAGGGCGGTTGGCGGTTAGATTAACAAGCATTTGGCCTCTGTTGATGAGGACGGGCTGGTCTTACAGCCCGTCCTCATCAACAAATGTCAAATGCTCACATAGCCAACATCCCCCCCCCCATATCTACGAATGAAACACTTTACACACGGCTCGTTAACTGATGACATTCGAACAGTGCTCGCTGATGAGACCTGTGTTCGAACCACAACGCTGTAAATGCTTCACCCACGTACTACAAATACCAATAATCGCCAACAGAACCTAAACACCTAACCTAACCTAATTATACATAGAATTTTTATGTATAATATTAATTTATATATGAAAACAAATCAATTTTTAATACATTATGTCAAAATTGACGGATGCGTGTGGGGAGGACGGCCGCCGCTTTAACCAACCTAGTGTGAGGACGGGTTCAATAATCGCCAACAGAACCTAAACACCTAACCTAACCTGGGCCTAAATGTGCACAATAATTTTATATATATAATAATATTCATTTAGATACAAAATATCTGTTTTGAATACACATTTCGTTAACATTTAAGAAGGGATCTTTGGGGCATAGATAACGTTTATGGGTGATGGAGATGCATCTCCAGCATCCGTCATCTCCTTCATCCGTCATCTCCAGCATCTGTCATCACCAACATCCGTCATCTCCAGCATCCGTCATCTCCTTCATCCGTCATCTCCAGCATCCGTCATCTCCAGCATCCGTCATCTCCAGCTGCTAATTACACCTATCCACCTGGCGAACACACATCCGGTCCATCCCTGCTCCTATCCAAACCTCCTTCCTATCCTTATCGCTTCCTCCCTTTCAGACATCATCCCCCCTTCCCTTTTCTTATCTTACCCTACTCTTTGCCCTTCCTCACCCACTCATTCATTCCTTAGATGCTTGTTCCTCTTAATCTCTTCCACTTCCGCCTCGTCTTTCATGCCGCTCGTCTCCTGTTCCCTCAAGTCTCCTTCCCCGCGCTAAAACTGCCGCCTGGTCCGCGCGTTAATTAAAACCCTTGGGAGGAAACAAACAGCGTAGGGAAGATAATAATCTTGCCAGGAGTTAATCTCGTCTGATAACCTAACCTAACCCTCAAGCCGCGGCTCACCAGCGACCTCTCTCTCTCTCCCTTCCCTCTCTCTCTCCCTTCTCTCTCTCTCCCCGCCATTTCACTCCTTGGTTAATGAGGTGGTCTCCTCTCACACGCCCCTCCCCCCCCCCTTCTCACTGTGGTTACCCAGACCCAAACAAAGTGCTCCAGAGTAGGCAAAGTGCCTAAAGTTTAGTCTGGTGTCCGCGGGGTCTGGAGTCGAAGTCAGGGGTTGAATTTAAGTCGAGGCGAGAGAATTATGTTTGCTCGAGTCCCTTGTGGTGTTTCCCGCCGACAAGGCGAGAGGCTCTCGGGTAACGTAGGTGTGAAATGGAATTCTTGACGAGGTAATCGTATTTTCGCATCATCATTAACCGGGGTGATGATTCTTTCACCAACCCGCCTTCTCTGCAGTCACCCTCAGCCAATCAGCGGCCGTATCACAAGCACCCTCTGTAAACAATCTTCCTGGGCCACTCACGGGCCGCGTCGCATCTCCCCTAGCACTCCGCCGGCCAATCAGCGGCGGGTGTGTATCACGGATCAATCTCTCTGGACCAATGGCAAGTGTGTTTAGATAAGTAGGGATTTCAGTAGCCAATTACTGTCGTCATTAAGTTGGGTGAAGCCTCATTTGGTAAACTCGCCCCATGGCTCCACAGTTGTTTAGCAACATCAAATATATCATCTGACAGTGGAGAGGAAGAGCTTAGTCGCTCGCTGGCAGCCGAGACGGCCAGACGTGAGGGGTGAGGCGGTCTTTGTGAGTCGTAGTCGACATATCACGCTGTGTGAACACGCTGTGTGAGCGTGAGAGAGTACTTTAGCTGTGTTGTGCCCGCCATGAGTGCCCACTTATAAGAGTGTTCCCGAGTACCTTTTTATATTAATCGACAATGGATTCGCGGTCCATTTCACCTGATTCGGTTTTGCCGCGAGTCAAGAAGCCATACGCCGCGGCGGCGGCGGCGGCGACGCCTACACTAATGCCCGCGTCCTCACCGATAGACCTGAGCTACACACTAGTCAACAAACTCAACACAGACGTCCAGCGACACCCCACCAGTACCACAGGCAACTGCAGCAGTCCCCCCTCCGTCAGATCTCCGCACACCGACACTACACACTCCGGCAGTTCGATCTGCACCCCCGGCGGCAGATCGAACGACACACACCAGAATACGTCTTCGGGGGAGAGCGCAGACACCCCGGGAGAAGCCAACCACACAGAGAGCCTCGGAGGGAGACACACCTCCTTCTCCGTAGTCGACATTCTTGACCCCAACAAGTTCGTGGGTCGTGTGCAGGTCACGACGACCGGAGAGGTGACCTCGTCTATGGACGACACGCGACTACGACCCGACACCTCGGCCATTTGTGGTAAGTTGTTCCTTGTCGTTCTCTCTGAAGTTACCTCGCCAGAACAATAATAAAAAGATACTAAAGTAATATATAGATCAAATTTATATATTTAATCGAAAATCAGTGATTTGTGGCACAAGTTTTTATATTTCCTAGGCTCCTCTAGGAAATTTTATATTTTATATTTCCTTTCCTAGGGAAGCATTAACTATAGATAAGCCACTATCCGTGGATAGCTACAGTCCAGATATTACCAAATCTCAGCACACGCACAACCAGCTAGACCAGGATGAGCTACACCGCGACACACCCTCTAACCCCGTCCGCTCATCATGGTGTAGAAGGTTAGGCCTGTGTCTGCGGTCGGCCCCATTTTGCCGTAGATATAGCAGCTTGTTGTGGGTTCAGTTTGGTTTAAAATATCGCGATTTGAGGAAGATCGCTCAGGTGAGAAATATTGTCTTTTAGTGTGTGTGTAAAAGTTAATATTTCACGTCGCCTATCTTGATCATTGGGAGTAATTTATATATTATATATATTTATATATTAATTATTTGACAGCTGGGTTAACTATGCTTATAAAGAATTATTTACGACACTGCTATATATATATATATATATATATATATATATATATATATATATTATATATATATAATATATATATATATATATATATATTATATATATATGTGTGTGTTTTATATTTTTAGGGAGATTCGAACTGTTGTCTTAAGATTAGAGATTTCCTAGCAAGTATGAGGTATAAGTGAGGGGGGCAGGTGGCAGTTATAATACCTAGAGTGCCTTGAGTGCCATTCTCCGCGACCTCCGATGTCGTGAAGATGGCACCGCACGCCCATATGAGTGCCACTAACGGTGCCTTTCCCAACAGACTCCGACTCCGAAGTGAGCGTCGGCGGCTGCGGCGGCGGCAGCGACGAGGGAGGCGAGGATGTCTGCGACGACGACGCCGCCGGAGACGACGTAGACGACGGCGGCGTCGCCGCTAAGAAGCGTCGTTGCGACGCCGGTAGCGGCAAGCCGCGGAGAGCGCGAACGGCCTTCACCTACGAGCAATTAGTAGCCCTTGAAAACAAATTCAAACACACCCGATACTTGAGCGTCTGCGAGAGGCTGAACCTGGCGCTGGCGCTCAACCTGACCGAGACGCAGGTGAAGATCTGGTTCCAGAACCGACGGACCAAATGGAAGAAGCAGAACCCCGGATGTGACGTCAACACGCCCACACAGCCACCCAGCCCGCCCGGGATGCTATCCTACCACGGCGGGGGGTTTCTGCCCCAGCCTGGGCCCCCCCTGCTGTGCCCAGCACCCCTAGCCTACCTAGGGGGGCATGCTGGGCACGCCGGCACCTTTCCTGCCCAGGGGGCGCTCACAGCCCTCTACCTACACCACCTGAAAAACTGACAAGCCGCCCACCACTAGCCACGCCCACCACAAGCCACGCCTACGAGAGGCATCAAATATGGTGTCAAAGTTCTCCTGACGGAGCCCTGGGGGCGGGATGGATCAGGTGGATTGGACCGGAGAATCCGCCTAGCAGCTAGGACGCCGGCAGGATAAGCTGAGAAGACCGGCTGAGGGTTGAGAACGCCGCCTAGCAGCTGGGACGCCGGCCGGATAAGCTCAGGAGACCGGCTGAGGGTTGAGAGCGCCGCCTAGCAGCTAAGACGCCGGTCGGATAAGCTCAGAAAGCCAGCTAAGAGTTGAGAGCGCCGCCTAGCAGCTAAGACGCCGGTCGGATAAGGTCAGAAAGCCAGCTAAGAGTTGAGAGCGCCGCCTAGCAGCTAAGACGCCGGTCGGATAAGGTCAGAAAGCCAGCTAAGAGTTGAGAGCGCCGCCTAGCAGCTAAGACGCCGGTCGCATAAGCTCAGAAAGCCAGCTAAGAGTTGAGAGCGCCGCCTAGCAGCTAAGACGCCGGTCGCATAAGCTCAGAAAGCCAGCTAAGAGTTGAGAGCGCCGCCTAGCAGCTAAGACGCCGGTCGCATAAGCTCAGAAAGCCAGCTAAGAGTTGAGAACGCCGCCTAGCAGCTAAGACGCCGGTCGCATAAGCTCAGAAAGCCAGCTAAGAGTTGAGAGCGCCGCCTAGCAGCTAAGACGCCAGCCGGATAAGCTCAGGAGACCGGCTGAGCCCCTTCCTCCCCCCCCCCCCTCTTACCCAGCACCTCGTAAGAATACCAAAGTCTGTATATTCCAGTTCGTAAGATGTGTCGTAAGATGTATGCGGTGGACGCTGCAAAATCCGCCATATTGTTATACATTGCAATAAATTCTATTTAACTTATTTCAACATTGGTTTCCCTTTAGCAGTAAACTCCCAAACCACTTCAACATTGGTTTCCCTTTAGCAGTAAACTCCCAAACCACTTCAACATTGGTTTCCCTTTAGCAGTAAACTCCCAAACCACTTCAACATTGGTTTCCCTTTAGCAGTAAACTCCCAAACCATTTCAACATTGGTTTCCCTTTAGCAGTAAACTCCCAAACCACTTCGACACGAACTCGGACCCAAGAAACAGGGGGGCCAGATTCACGATGCGGTTACGCAAGTACTTACGAACCTGGGGCCAGATTCACGATGCGGTTACCCAAGTACTTACGAACCTGGGGCCAGATTCACGATGCGGTTACGCAAGTACTTACGAACCTGGGGCCAGATTCACGATGCGGTTACGCAAGTACTTACGAACCTGGGGCCAGATTCACGATGCGGTTACACAAGTACTTACGAACCTGGGGCCAGATTCACGATGCGGTTACCCAAGTACTTACGAACATGGGGCCAGATTCACGATGCGGTTACGCAAGCACTTACGAACCTGTACATCTTATCCCAATCTTTGGCGGCTTTGTTTACAATTATTAAACAGTTAATGAGCTCCGAAGCACCAGGAGGCTGTTTATAACAATAACAACAGTTGATTGGCAAGTTTTCATGCTTGTAAACTGTTTAATAAATGTAACCAAAGCCGTCAAAGATTGAGGAAAGATGGACACGTTCGTAAGTGCTTGCGTAACTGCTTCGTGAATCTGGCCCCAGGTTCGTAAGTGCTTGCGTAACTGCTTCGTGAATCTGGCCCCAGGTTCGTAACTGCTTGCGTAACTGCTTCGTGAATCTGGCCCCAGGTTCGTAACTGCTTCGTGAATCTGGCCCCAGGTTCGGAACTGCTTCGTGAATCTGGCCCCAGGTTCGTAACTGCTTCGTGAATCTGGCCCCAGGTTCGGAACTGCTTCGTGAATCTGGCCCCAGGTTCGTAACTGCTTCGTGAATCTGGCCCCAGGTTCGGAACTGCTTCGTGAATCTGGCCCCAGGTTCGTAACTGCTTCGTGAATCTGGCCGGTGAGAAATGCAGTTTGCGAGGCTAATAGAAAAGTTTATTGATGTATGGTGTTCAATTTTTTTTAAAGATATTGATGTTGGTAGATAGTTATAAAAGTGAAATTATTACCACTCAATAGTTATAGCTATTAGTAAAAGTAGATTTATTGAGATAGATAATATATATCTAAAAGGAATAGAGTAATTTAGGGTATTTTCTCCTCATTTATCTGTTAGTCTCTATACAAGGGAGTGAGGTTTAGCTCTATATGAATCCCCCTACAACCCCCCCAGCCTACAACCCCCCCCAGCCTACAACCCCCCCAGCCTACAACCCCCCCAGCCTACAAACCCCCCCCCAGCCTACAACCCCCCAGTCTACAACCCCCCCAGCGTACAACCCCCCAGCGTACAACCCCCCAGCCTACAACCCCCCAGCCTACAACCCCCCCAGCCTACAACCCCCCAGCCTACAACCCCCCAGCCTACAACCCCCCCCAGCCTACAACCCCCCCCCCAGCCTACAACCCCCCCCAGCGTACAACCCCCCCCAGCGTACAACCCCCCAGCCTACAACCCCCCAGCCTACAACCCCCCCAGCGTACAACCCCCCAGCCTACAACCCCCCCAGCGTACAACCCCCCAGACTACAACCCCCCAGCCTACAACCCCCCCAGCCTACAACCCCCCCAGCGTACAACCCCCCAGCCTACAACTCCCCAGCCTACAACCCCCCCAGCCTACAACCCCCCAGCCTACAACCCCCCCAGCCTACAACCCCCCCAGCCTACAACCCCCCCAGCCTACAACCCCCCCCAGCCTACAACCCCCCAGCCTACAACCCCCCCAGCCTACAACCCCCCAGCCTACAACCCCCCCAGCCTACAACCCCCCAGCCTACAACCCCCCAGCCTACAACCCCCCCACCCTACAACCCTTGTTACAACTGGTGTGTTATAATTGAACTATTCTGACGTTCAAATTCGTTGTCGAATCTGTGCCCGAAAATTGTGGATTGAGGTGGCTTCCATAACCTCTACTTCTTGGCCTCTCGTATAGGGTATGAGTTTATGAGGTTCAACCCAGGGTATGAGGTTCAACCCAGGGTATGAGGTTCACTCCAGGGTATGAGGTTCAACCCAGGGTATGAGGTTCAACCCAGGGCATGAGGTTCAACCCAGGGTATGAGGTTCAACCCAGGGTATGAGGTCCAACCCAGGGTATGAGGTTCACTCCAGGGTATGAGGTTCACTCCAGGGTATGAGGTTCAACCCAGGGTATGAGGTTCAACCCCAGGGTATGTGGTTCAACCCAGGGTATGAGGTTCAACCCAGGGTATGAGGTCCAACCCAGGGTATGAGGTTCAACCCAGGGTATGTGGTTCAACCCAGGGTATGTGGTTCAACCCAGGGTATGAGGTTCAACCCAGGGTATGAGGTCCAACCCAGGGTATGAGGTTCAACCCCTGGGTATGTGGTTCAACCCAGGGTATGAGGTTCAACCCAGGGTATGAGGTTCAACCCAGGGTATGTGGTTCAACCCAGGGTATGTGGTTCAACCCAGGGTATGAGGTTCACTCCAGGGTATGAGGTTCACTCCAGGGTATGAGGTTCACTCCAGGGTATGAGGTTCACTCCAGGGTATGAGGTTCAACCCAGGGTATGAGGTTCAACCCAGGGTATGAGGTTCAACCCCAGGGTATGAGGTTCAACCCAGGGTATGAGGTTCAACCCCAGGGTATGAGGTTCAACCCAGGGTATGTGGTTCACCCCAGGGTATGAGGTTCAACCCAGGGTATGAGGTTCAACCCAGGGTATGAGGTTCAACCCAGGGTATGAGGTTCAACCCAGGGTATGTGGTTCACCCCAGGGTATGAGGTTCACTCCAGGGTATAGGGTTCACCTTAGGGTATGAGGTTCACCTGTCAGTTCTTGAACTTGTTTGCATGTTCAACTTCAACTCTCCACTCATCTACTTGCTCTAAGTTTAAAGAGCATGTGTCAGTTCACTCGGTATCTTGTATGTAGTGATCATGTCCCCCTTCTGTCTCGTTGATGGTGCCAGTGAGAGACATTAATCACCCGGGATTCCAAATGACCTGACCGCTTTACCTCTCCAAACGTCTAAATATGAAAAAAGCGTAAATCCCCACATGGGATTAATCCCTACACGTTGGGTTCTGATTAACACTAAGCACTAATCCCCCGCATGGCACTGCTCTAAGCACAACACACTAATCTCCACTGCTCCAATCTCTAACATGGTGGGTAGAGATACACAGACCACTAATCAAACGATTGGTACGAATCGAGGGATTAATGAATCCACGTGGCACTGATTAGCACAACTGGGATTGGCTGTAACGATTGGCACTCATTAACACACATGAAACTACCCACGAGTGAATAGTTCCCATGGCCTCGTAGCCTGGTGGATAGCGCGCAGGACTCGTAATTCTGTGGCGCGGGTTCGATTCCCGCACGAGGCAGAAACAAATGGGCAAAGTTTCTTTCACCCTGAATGCCCCTGTTACCTAGCAGTAAATAGGTACCTGTAAGTTAGTCAGCTGTCACGGGCTGCTTCCTGGGGGTGGAGGCCTGGTCGAGGACAGGGCCGCGGGGACACTAAAAGCCCCGAAATCATCTCAAGATAACCTCAAGATAAGATGGCACTCGTAAAAAGCATGTGATCTCCTATTAGATATGCAAAGTATATTTTTCTTTTAACTAACAAGGTATATTAACTTTTAACTTTTTAAGTAAAATAAAAGGGAATAAATTGGTGTCTTAAATAACCACTAATTACCCGACAGAATAAAAAAAACTAACCTTACTTAGGCCAAACTATACACCAAATTATAATATATAATAATATTAATTTTAACCTGATCAAAAAAAGTTTTTTGGTATTAATTTTCCTGATCCTCCTCTGGCTAATATATATATATATATATATATATATATATATATATATATATATATATATAATATATATATATATATATAATTATATTTTTGGTAGCAGTCTTGCTTGTAAATATAAGTTGTTGATTATGACCGAAAAAGTAAGATTAATAATTCTAACACGAATTTTCTCAATATTTCTTATGTTTCTTCTCACTGTCGATGGTAATTGAAAAATCAGTTCTCCAAAATTCATTTTTATTTCTAGTCTGACGCGACGCTTGAACGCGTTTCGTAATAACTTATTACATTTTCAAAGACTTTAGTTTACACACACACAACTGTAACCTGTGAACACTAAACAGTTTTGGATGAGGTGAACAAACTTGTGACAAACACGAGACAGAACACGAAACAATGGGTATAAATTGGATATGAGAACATAAGAATGGAAGTAACTGCAGAGGGCCTTTTTTTTCTACCACAGATGTGGCCAGACATTTACAATGCTAACCAGCATATATACATTTTCTTCTGTCCTCCATGGATAGGGTTAGAGATGTGTTAAACATATAGTTCAAGGGTTTATTGAACATGCAAAGGGCCTATTGGCCCATACTTCCTCTTGATGCTTCTATATTGGTACGGAGTCTTGAAGTGGGTAGAATATAGTTGTGCATTAATTGGTTGTTGATTGCTGGTGTTGACTTCTTGATGTGTAGTGCCTCGCAGATGTCGAGCTGCCTGCTATCGCTGTATCTATCGATGATTTCTGTGTTTGTTAAAACTTCTCTGGTGATGGTCTGGTTATGAGTTCACAACCAGATCATCATATTTTCTCATATATTATGCAGGCGATGAGTCACAATAACGTGGCTGAAGTATGTTGACCAGACCACACACTAGAAATTGAAGAGACGACGACGTTTCGGTCCGTCCTGGACCATTCTCAAGTCGATTGTGATGAGGACAGGTAGGGACAGGCATTAAATAGGCAAGAGA